AAGCTGCTACTTTTTTTGGATACACACATGTAAAATACCTAAATATGTAGACTCTCATTTTTAAACCTGGAGCGAGATTTTAAGATGGTGGACTGTACCCAGATTATACGTAGACTTTTAAAATGCATAAGGAGAAACAAGAGCCAAAAAAGGGTAAATTATTCAAATCTACATTTAAAGTCAAATAAATCACCTGATCAAAAATTTAAGACCGGTCAAAATCTGCCCATAAATCTGGCCGTTATGTTTTTTTCCCACCAGCCGTTCGGATTAACATGATCCTGCGATATCAAAGGAAAAAATCTGCACAAGCGAGACGACTTGCTACTCAGGTTGGACGTTTATTTCAAAACACTACAGCACAACATATTCAAAAGGAAAAATCCTTGCAAGCATGGATCTTCGACCCAAATTAAGGCTATGACTATTGCTAACTCTTACCTAATAACCATAAGATAGAAGAAAAAGCACAAAATGTTCACAAATTCTACATCGTAAACTGAAACAATAGAACTACAGAACTGTGAAATGCTAGAAATTAGAGCTGACTTTGTGGAAATTCAAGCTACCAGGAGAGTATTGCCCTTTTTTAAGAAAATCATGTGTGTTTTTCTGATCTTAATCTTATATGTTTTACTATAAAACACTTTTTTTGATTTCTGAATTGTTACAAAAAAAATAAAGAATTTTGCTTTTTTTAAATTATTATTTTTAATTCAGATTAAAACCATTTAATATAAAATAACTTTCTTAAAAAAGGCAAACAAATAACACTTTAAGTGTAAAATGCTTGAAAAGTTTAAAGTATAAAGGCCTAAAATAGTAATTAAAAAAGCAGGATTTAAAAAATGGATCAAGTTTAATTTACAGTGAACAAGAGTCAAGATATTGTGTTTTTATGACAAACGTGTGCATCACACAGTTGATTAAGATAACAAAATTGTATTTGTGTTGCATCTTTCTGGTGCCCCCTTGTGACTCCACAGTTGCTAGGCAACTATGAGGAAATTATAATGCATAGCCAGGGTCAAGAGCTTAACTGACTACTGTATGCAAATAGCTTAATTTTAACATATTTGAGGACCTGAAAGCAAGAAAATATACATGTATTTATTTAATAGTTAAGCAAAAATAGTTAAATATTGATTTGGCATCTCAGTCGGAAAGGGTCAGACAGAAACAATGCAATACCATAAATTAATGGAGAATAATCAGCAGCCAATGAGCAATTGAAGGCTGAAGAAAATGGTTGCACATTTCTTTCAATGCCATTTTAAATAAACTGTTTAAAAGTGCAAGGAAAGGGGAGAATCTCAAAGCTTCTTATATTATTTTGAAGCTAATTGAAAGAAATGTTGTTTTCTAAACTTTTCCCTCTGTTTTTCTTTTAAGAGAAATTGAAATTCTACTGATAAACTTTGTGCAAACTCATGACCCAAACCTTAAGATTTTATATGTCTCTGGTGGTAAAATCTGTGGTCAGACACATCATTCTCCTCTGAGCCAGGAGTATTATTTGAATTCATGAAATGTTTTCCATTCATACACATCAAACAAGTGGCAGGTGGACTCCATGTCAAATGGGTTTTTCAAAGCAACAAGGTAAACTTATGCCTGTGTTCATCTAATCTAAAAATGGGACTTTGTGTTCTCCAGCTGCACAGATAATACTGACCAACCTCAAAAATATTCCTGAGATCAGAGATTTATATTATCTGGAGATTATAAACATAATCCTTTGATGACATTTTCATGTTTTAGTAAACTGTAGATAAAATTAGCTTATGCACACTACACCATTTATCACACGTTCTGGAGATTAACACCGATAATGTGACATGAGTATATGTCAGCAAAATTACAGATATTAGAGATGTCAAGGTGCAGATCCTCCTTACTGTCTGAAGGAGCTCATTCTATTCCTTTAGACTAGCCAATAGCAATTAGCAAATACCTGGTGAGTTCATTATACAAGCAACTTCTAAGTAAAACATGGTTAAAGGGTTAATAGAAGAGGAATGTTATGATGGCTTTCTGAAGAGTTTCAGAAAGAGAAGGGCTTTTTATAGATACAAAGGCCCAATGTTATGCTCTTAAAAGAAATTTGATTTCACAGTTTAAGTCATTTTTGGTATTTGGAGCATTTTTATAACAGCTGAAAGTTATAAAAATGCAAAGAGATCTGTTAAAGTTATAAAAATGCAAAGAGATCTGTTAAAGTAAAATTGTTACTTTATTGTTCTACAAAATGGCACTACGTGCCTTAAAAATACATAATTCTGCCACTTTAGGGACCACAAAGTCTGTTTTGGTGTGGCCAACACAAAGCCTTGCCGTCAATCCTGTGGAGAATTGTAGGCAAAATGAAAATGAGTGTGTGATTGAGGCACCTTACACACTTTCCACCAGTTCTTTCCACCAAACTATAGAGAGAAATCAGACCAAACAGGAAAAGTTTGGTCAGATTTAACTTTAGAAAGTGAATTTAAAAAAAGGTGCATGTGTATTTTTATTTATCTAGATAAACTCTGGAATAATTTCTGAAGAAGTTAATTTGTGACAGCTTTGCAGAGCGTCTGTTTACCAAGAAGGCAATATGCATCTGAATCACGCCATATGTGCGTCTTCATTTTTCCGTGAGTTCATTGTGGGTCTTTTAATTTACCTCTTTCTCTGAGTCTTTTTGTAAGCAGTCGAAAAGGTCTGATCTGATTGATAAGCAGCAAGTTGTCATTCCAATCACACTGTCGCTTGCAAGAGGCACACTTCTTTAAGTCTGGGAAGTGTGTTTACCTCTGCTTGAAGAAAGTTGAGAGCAAAAGTGGGTCATGCTCGGCACAAATGTGGCTATATTTGTCAAAAGGAACAAAAAAACTGCCAGACTCCCAGGGACGATTACCCATCATGGCCACAGCTGAGAGATTCACTGTGACCTGATAATTGCCTCTGAGCATCACATTTTGTGGACAATGCACAAATCTACAGTACAGGCACCCATTCAATTTAAACTTATTCTGTGCTCACAGCATGTTGCAGAGAAATAATATTTGTCCATTTTCTAGGCTATTGACTGAAGTGAACCAGTTTTAAAATTGTGGTGTTATAACCCCAGTCTGGTTAATTTATTTTTTACCGTGTGTTGAACAGTTGTTCGGCAAAGTTATCCTGAATACAGTTCATCATGTTTTGTGTTTTTAAAATTTTTGACAAAGCTCTTTTCCCCCTTACTTTTCTGTTGCGATGCAATAGCCTCTGGGAAACACATCAATCATGTTCACTGGGAAGTGACAGTCAATAAGACTCCCACTTAGGCTGGCAAAACAGAGTTAAGGCGTTGATTGCCCCAAGTTCTGTTACAAAGTCCCTGCTGTGATGCCCCAGACTTTATTACTGTCTGAAACAAGAAGCTCATCACTTTCTTGTTGTCCCTGGTAACTGACTATGTCGTTTTTCAGCTAACAAATTGGTGCACAGCGTACTGTTTAATAAAGCTTTATTAACACTTTGCATTTACAGCAGCATTGGTTAGATTTGAATTGATTGTGTGTAAAAACTCTATTTTCCGTACGAAGCAATTACAATACAGTGCAGTTTAATTTATAAAGCACTTTAGAACAACAATGTTGTATTGTACAGTAAGACAAATAAAATAGACATAAAAATGAAACAACAAAGACCTTAAAGCAAACACTTCAAGCTGAGTCAGATGGGAACTGAGGGATAAGACCATGAAGACATTTAGAAACAAATATATGAAGTTTAAAGTTAATCCGTAAACAAACTGGGAGCAGATGCAGTGATTTTAATACAGGAATAATGTGCTCACGTCTTCTTCTACCAGTTATTCCGCGTTCACCACCGAACGTGTTTCGCACGTCAGAAATGCGTCCGACACTTCAGGTTTACCTGTTTGCACTTTGAAGACGAATACTTAACATTTTGCTCTAGACGTGCGCCAAATGAGTCAAAATAACTAGATGCAGGTTTGGATGAGTTGTTTCCCGTTGCCGGTCTCTTTGTACTACACTGTAAAAAAGGAACCTCAGGGGTTATCACATTAACAAAAGAATATAATGTACTGTTAACTAAATAATTGCATGTTTGAGCCAAAAAACATGATACAATCATGTTGCATAAACAAGATATTCCACAACTTCAACGTTTATAAAATTGAATCATGTTGAGCGAACATGATTCATTATAGTCAGACCGATCCTATGCTGAAGACCACGAGTGAGATCACGCGATATCACGCAAGTTCACGCAAGATTACGGGAAATCACGGGATATCACGCGAGAATACGCGAGACAATCGGTTTTTTTCTCGCAAATGGAATAAAATGTATTCAAGGTGAGATAACGTGATTCAATTACGTCAGCTAGATCTTCCGCCAAAAAAAAAAAGAACGTCGGGGCGTATTACATTAACAAAAAAATATCATGTACCTTTCACACAATAATGTTGGGTTTGAAACGAAAACGTGATAAAATCATGTTGGATAAACAAGATATTCCACGACTTCACATTTATAAAATTGAATCATGTTGAGCTAACATGATTCATTATAGTTAGACTGATATTGTGCTGACGACAACGAGTGAGATCACGGGATATCACGCGAGAACACGCGAGACAATCGGTTTTTTCTCTCAACTGAACTAACGTGATTGAATGACGTTATCTCAACTTGAATACATCTAATTCCTCAAGCTCCCAGGCCTCTACCAGAGGCCTGGGAGCTTGAGGGTCCTGCGCAGTATCTTGGCTGTGCCAAGATATATATATATATATATATATATATATATATATATATATATATATATTATATATATATATATATATATATATATATATATATATATATATATATATTTTTTTAAACATATTATATATATATATATATATTATATATATATATATATATATATATATATATATATATATATGTTTTTTTTATTTTATTTTATTCAATATCAATATTTGTCAAAGTTAATCTAATAAAAAAAACACAGTGACGTCAGTTCCAAAGCGCTATTGTGTCAGACTCATCTCCCGCTGAAGAGGATCCAGCGACATCAAGAGATTACGGAAAATCACGCGAGATAACTGGCTCGCACCTTGTTGGGTTTTTTCAAGGGCAGAGGGGAGATTCCTGGCGTGCATCTACTTAATTTGAAGAAGGTAAGAGTCAAACTATTTTCATCTAAATCCATATAAAAATATGTAACTTAAAATTTCTCTACCATTTGCACCATTTTCTACTTGTTCCATACTTGTGTACATTATTTCATGTTCTGTAGATTAAGTCGGTTAGGTTAAGGCAGATAGCTTTTTGTTTACATTTATCGCCGCACCATGTTAGGTACATTCTGTGCGAAAAAAGTCTGCAGAGCCATATGTAGTGTAAGGTCACAAAGCTGCTGCCAGAGACACAAATGGACCCCGGAAATGTCACAGTTTTGCTCCTCCTGAGCTCCCTGGAGGTTTAGTGGATTTTTAACACACTGATCTAACATCAGTCTATTTCTAACTATTTTAATTCTATTTCAGTAATGTTACTATGGAGGTAAATATAGATACACACACACACACTTTGGTACCTTTCTATCATCATCGAGATTCTTAATTAATTATGGTAATAAAAAGTCCTACATTTCAGTCGGTGAAACCTGCAGAAAGCATTGCTTTCTGAGCTTTGTTAAATGTTCCTAAAATACCTGTTAGTTATGGATTTCTAGTATATTTTGTCAGGCTAAAACTCTCAATGGATTATCCATTATTACAGACTTGAGCTTTCTATTTTTTTCTTTAAATACATATTCCTCTGCTGTAAAGATGTTGGGGTTTTTTGGACTCTTCTTTGTTGTCCCAAATAATTGTAGCTCAGAAACAATATTGAAGTTCATTGGTTTAATTTTGAAATGTTGATGTTTTTTGTGTTGATTGTTTGTGCTCATTTTGACCTTTGTTACTATTGCTTTCTACCATGTTCAATTCACCATTGTTCTGCACATATGTGCTTGCATACAAGTGTCCAGTGGTTATATTCATGATTCATTCAAGGGACTTGTACTAAAAGATACAACTCAGTTCAGTATGAATTGCATATTTTAATGGCTGAAAATATATCTGATCTCTTTCAGAACATCACCTGTCTGTAATCCACCTGCGTAAGTACTGGTCAAGGGGCTCATCGGCTATCAAGTTATAGATTTCAGTGGCTAATAGTAAGTTTTGCCAGATCTAAAGTGACTGAATGTAGTGTTAGGAGCTTATAGAGCTAGAGTTCAGCTAAACATTTATTTGGCCAGTCTGTTTTATTTGTCTTTATTTGCGTGGGGATGTGGAAATGTAAGGAGTGTAGTCTCTCTCTGTCTCGTAGATATGACCTGTTAAAACATTTTACACTTAAACACCGGCATATGCGACGTTATCCATGCCCACACATAGACTGTCCATGTACTTGTAAGACATGGAATGCTTTGCATATTCATTTAAGTGAAGGATATAGACTGTGTTGACCATTCTGTACTTTTCACATATTTCTTTGGTGATATATTCATGTTTTATTTAAACCTCTAACAGCTTCAGTTAGATGTTTAAATGAGATGTTAAACTCCATTTTAGTCATGGCATAATGAAGGGATACTAACAATTTTAAATATCTTTCAAATAGACTGCAAGCCACTGATCACTTTTGTTGTCACTTCCTTTGAATGTAGCTATGTTTTCAAGTGTGTGAACCTATACTGCTGGAGTTTTGACATTGTTCTCATTGTTTTTTGATCTGCATATTTAGGAAGACACTGCTGAGGTCAGACGAGAGTGCATCCTCAAAGGTCTGTGTGTGTACCTAAATGAAGATCCAGAGAAGCTGGTGAGGGAGTACATGGTATGTTAAATTCTCTTTGTGTTTACAATAGAACTCCTAAGAGTTGTTAAAATACTTTCACCAACTAAGGTCCATGAGTGACTCAATCAATGTCAGTCTTAATTTATTTATTTAATTACATGTGAATTGTCTCTCCCCAATACCCTTCCCTAACTCCCTTAGGACGTTGATGAATGCGCAGAAATGGCCAAAGCCGAGGCTGTCCTCAGAATCGTCATTTGAGCAGAGGGTGCAGAGGCTGCCGATGCACATCTGGATGTTGGGATTGTCCTGGAGGAGGTGGAAGTTATGAACAGCTTGGGCAGTGTATCTTCTGCAATAGTGATGCTGCTGGGACTAATCTATGCACTAAAACTTGAGCTACCCTCAAGTTTAGTGCGTTCAGCACTCAACTTGCTCAGTAACTCAAGCATACCTTTGAAGTAATACAGAAAATAATAATGAAATTGGATGGAAAGAACTTATCAAAGAAAGCACAAGTTCTCAATATGAAACTCGCTGCTAAGTTGAGCAAAGTTTCACATGGAAAATGAGTGTTTAAAGTCTGCAGTAGAAAGATTTATATTGTTACAGTTCTCTAAGTTGAGCAACTATACTGACATGTTTTATGTTGTAAAGAATTGGCTGGGAAATGAAACTGTAACCTTTTTGTAGTTTTTTTATTTCAATGTCCAACTCAGCTGTGTTTTGTGCTGTGTAAAAAAACGATGTATAACAATTCTGAAAATACAATTGTGTTGTACCTTTTCTAATTGTTGAGTGTTCTTCCTACACTTTCACCTAGTGCTATCTTAAAATGCTTGATTAACGCTTGAAAATATGTCTTTGAATTAACGTCATAAAATAATGGAAAGTATTTCCACACGATTAACTAGCTGTCTTTTAGCATGAAGCATATTTGTTGAGCTAACTTGCTTTTAGTGAGTTGGACCTACTGAATCAGGTAGTGTGAAGGTACCACTGTAAAATAAGGTGGTTTCAAACTAGATTTACATTCATCTTAATGAAGTTACATCAATGATTTGGTCCTAAACATTGCAGATTAGTTGGGCGGGCTGTATTGCATTACACTGGGTCACACTATAGTAACTGAGTTAAAGGAACCTTTAAAACATATGTTGAGCCAACACATTTCATTTGAATTTGAATAACCTTAATGAATGGAGTTGAGCCAACTCATTTGATTTACAATCATCCATTGCCTTACCATAATTCTGGTTAAGCCAACATATTTGGTTTAAATTAGAACAACCTTAATGAATTATGTTTTGCCAACTCATTTTATTTATATAAGAATAACCACAATATATTACGTTGAGCCAACATGTTTGATTTAGAATCACCCATTGAATCACCATTGTAACAAGTGGAGCCAACACATTTGCTTTACATTGGAATAATCTTAATAAATTAGGTTGACCTAACACATTTGCTTTAAATAGGAGTAACACAAGTACATGGTGCTGAAATAAAGCAAAGTAATCAGGTGGAAATCCTTTCCATAATTTTTTTATGTTCATCCAATGACTTATTTTTTTCAGTGTATGGTAGATAAAATTGACAGAGTGGCTCCAAAATATTATGATACACAACGGAGGCTCAGATGTCTTTACTGAACATTTTGTGTTCAGTTTCTATTGACAGCGGTGACAGCTGATAACAGCACAACACGTTCGAGCCTCCTGCCTTTTTTCCTCTCGCAGTTACTTTGAACAAAGGCAGATGAAATATTGAAAGTGTCGAGGTTTTATTTACTCAAATCAACAGAATGTCGCCATCGGGTGTGTGTTTGAATTTACCAGATAATTCAGAGGTGTTGTTGTGAGTTTGGTGAGTTTCACAAGCCAACTGGGCGGTGATGAACGTCGCTATCAGCAGTGTTTTCATCTCACCTGAGTCCCAGTTTGATAATCGGCTAGCCTGCATCGGTGCCTGCATCTCCTGGCAGGACATCAACTACAGGCCACTATGTCACATAGCGGAGTCTCTCTGGGGGTCCAGTGCGGCCAAATTGGCGAGGGTCGAAGGTCCAAAATGCTACAACCTCGCAGCATTGATGCACGTCCACATAAACTTTGACCGTACGCCAGATGCCCCTGATGCTCAAATGCGTTTGTTGTGAAGGAAGCATTAAGAAGCGAGCAGAAGCATTCTGAACCAAATGAAGTTGGGATTGTAGTGGGTGACTCAGACTGACATGAAGTGCATTGCAGTAATCTAAGCGAGATGTAATGAAAACATGGATTAAAATCTCAAATCAATGTGATGGGAGTGGCTTAATCACTTGGACTTGAGAACTATCACTAGGTTTAACAAACCTAATTTTTTTTATATAAAAAAATATAAAAAGTTCAAGACTGGACTCCAAGAATTTGCTCAGCGAGTTTTGGTCAACTCAGCAAAAAAGTGCAGGTTCACACCATGTGTCCAAAGCTCCTAAAAGAAGTAAATAAAAACGATGGGGCCCATGTATGCAGCCTTGAGGGACTCCACTTGTAAGAGGAGCAGAAAACTCAAACGCTTCTCTCTGTTAAATAGGACCTGAGCTCATGGCTACACCTGATTGTTGAAAGCATGTACACCTTTACTGTGCTTGTAATTCTACTCCAGTTAACTCACAGTCTGCTTTTCTACAGGAGGTAAAGGACGCACTCTGCTTTTGGAGAACCAAAAGTTTCCTTTTTAAAAGCGGCTTTAATTTTTTTTTCGCTGTTATAAATTGTAGCAAAGAGATCTGACAAAACATTTTATCACTTACTGGTCACAGATACAAATCATGATGAGTAAACAGTGGAATTATGAAAGCAAAAACAATCTGGTTGTCTTTAAATAGTGCAGAAGGATTTACGTGCTTCAGCTCTACACCACATCTGTTCATATCAATTTACATCACATCAGTCTCTTACTGCAACTGACATTTCCAGAAGGAAAGGAGTGCTTTATTACTTTTGGAAATTGACAGGTTGGTAGATCTATGTCTATTTCCAAAACTCAAGCTGCTTGAAGGTAATCTCTTGGCGCAGGTACAGAAATTCCTTGTGCTGTTTTTAAAATGACAAGCAGAATGTATTTGTCTTGACAATTACTCATCCCAAGTTGTAATCATGACTGGAAAATCACAAAAGGCTTTATCTCATCTCTTTGTCTGTGATTGCCATGTTTTACAGACGCTCAAAAATGGAGAAAAATAAAACCCTTTATGCTCTTGCTCTGGACGCAGTGTCTTTTTATTGCTCCTCTCTATATTCCTCCAGTGGGAGACAAGGCCTTATGTCACATACTACTGCAAATACACAATTACTCTTTTCCAAATGCCTGTGAAGTATTTGGAACTTTTCCTGTGGTAATTTGTTCTTAGTCGTTGAAGTTCTTTTCCTTGGCTTCTGGTCATTTTTGCCACAATAAGGTAGAGGTTTGGGTTAGTTTGAAAACTTTACCACTTTAATGGTCAGTTGAGCATTTGTGGGATTTGTTGTGTGGACAGCTTGTCTTGTGTGCACACTGTGGAATATTTTCTATGACATTATTTTGTAAAAATTTGCAATTCATTTGTGCTGAGATGTTATTTTGTAAACCAGGCTTAGCTTCAGAATGTAGCATTTTACTTTCAGTCATTAATTATTATGTGGCTTGAGAAAGGAAAAACAGCTCCTTCGTACGGCTTGCTTTTAGTGCCAAATTGGGCGTTTTAAGGATTTCAGAAATACAAATTGTACAATTCTTTGGTTCCAATTAATTTTGATTTGGTATGTTGAGCATCACTTCTACATTAACACCAACATTTGACTTCCTGCCAATATTTTCCCCATTTTTCATATATTTTGTCTGTTTTTAAGATGCTCTTCATTTTTACCCTTCTTATAAATATACTGTGTTGTGTAATATGCTTTCTCCCATATTACTCTTGTGTTTCCAAAACTTAATAGCACCTTCTGTTCAGATGTACTATATATTAATTTCATCTGAATTCCCTGCCTTTGCCTTTAAGATTCATTTACCACCAACATGCCTGTAAAGTTTTGTTTGTTTGCATCTCAGCTTCATGCTTTTTCAGATTACTTATGTGATCGCACACAATAGCTTTAAAACAGCTTACATTACTTGAGCTTGTTATTCATTATTATTCCAAAAGAAAACAAAATTAAATCTCCTAACTTGATCTCGCTAGTGAAGCTCATTAACTTGCTGCTATATGTAGCTAATTTCATGTAATGGAAACTAATGGAGTATGACGTTGCCACTGATATTTTGTATTCCAATTTTAAAGTTTTATATCTAACTTTTCCACAAGGTAGTGAAGAGAAATAGAAAGTTTGCTTTAATGATCTACCTCTTTGTGGTTTCAGAAAGAAGTGATCCCTCTGCGTCTGCGTTGCTGTGGCCCACATGAAACCACATCCATGGTACGACCAGAAGACTACAAATTTGGCCATTACATGGGGAGTGCTTTAACACTGTGATTAATGGGTAATGATGGGCTTTCAGCACACACAGCAGGACAGCACTGTGTGGCTCTACTCTCTGTGCTGCAATATTCAGGCAACCATCCCACAAATCGCGCTCATTGGAAGCTCAATCCCTTCTTACACTCAATATGCAATTCGTTCAGGTCTGTCTTTGTTACTTGTTGCAAGAACAGTTGTCAAAAAAAAAGGAAGTTATAATTTCAATTGAATCACATTGAGTTATAGTCGTGCAACTGTGGCGTCTAAAGATATGCTTCTATTATCAAGAGTTGAAACTTTTTTTTAGATATGTGTGAAAGATGATTAGGGCCACAAAAAAAAAAAAAAAAAAAGAACAACTCTGAATTCTGGCTTTTTTCTCATAATTTTGACCTTTTTCTCATAATTTTGAGTTTAGTCTTTAGTCTACTTTTTTCCTGAATTGTTACTTTAATCTCAGAATTCTTGAATTCAGAATTCAATCTTTTCTGAAGATTGAAGTCAGAATCATTTTTTTCAGTGGCCCTAATTCTCTATTGCTCTAATTATTAGGTGACACAAGTTGTCTTTCTAAATCAATTTCTATTGCAGAAAAGCATTAAAGCATTTAACTCTGGGTGTTCAACTCCATCCCTCAAAGGCTGGCATCCTGCAAGATTTAAATTTGTTCCTGCTTCAACACAGTTGATTCAGATGCTTGAATTACCTCCTCAGCATGTCATCAAGTTTTGCAGAGGCATGGTAATGAGCCATCATTTGGCTCTGGTGTGTTGAACCAGTTAAATTTAAAACATGCATCCTTTCCTGTTATTTCTTCAAAGTAATTGACGATTGTGAAACTGAAGGAAAAGGTTACATGCTCTTATGGTTTTTTCACAAAGGAGAAACTGAAAATGTGCTGTGACTTTAAATTTAGCATTTGTGATTCAATACGCTGCAAAACCACTTTTCAGTGCAATTAAAGATGTGAGATATATGCCTTTATCTAACTGGCACATCTTGAAACATATTTTTGCTCATTCCTCTCAGCCAAATCATTCAAGCTTATTGAGATTAAATGGAGAGAGTGGGAGAACTTGTGGCTGTATATTTTTTTCTT